TAGCATTCCTGGAACATCCAGCCTATTTAAAAAAAAAAAAAAAAAAAAAAAAAAAAAAAAAGAGAAAAAAAAAAAAAGAGGAGGGGGCAGGGAGAGAGAGGAAAAAACCCACCCCTGGACCTGCACATTGCAGCTCACCGCCATCTTGATGTCCTTGATGCGTGCTGATGGCATGGAGGTGGCTGGCACCAGATCAGCCCCAGAGAAGGAATGAGAGGCCAATGGAGATTTATGTGAGGAGAGTGAGATGGACAAGGTAAAATTGTCAGGAGGAGTTGTTAGAAAGTAAAATATATTGTGACAATTCCACTCCTGCCGTTCATCAATAAACTGACAGATCATTTAGTGTCAATTAGGAGTGATAGATGGACAAGTCCCCATGATCCTGGGCCAAAATTAATGGCTGGGAGGGAGAGGGTGATTGAAAATGACGGCTGACATTGAGAGGAAAGTCCTGAAGGTCCCCAAGGGGCCATTACTTGCCTCATTCCCTTGCAGATCAATGCAGGGACAAACCCAAAAACAGACACTTCAAGACAAAACTTAATCAGACTTCCTTTTCTTTCGTCTCCTTCTAAGTTGTGCCCCCTCACCTGGCAGCCTTGATCCTCTCTGCCTATACTTTTCACTTCACTGAGGACATCCACAGATGGCTGCAAGCTGCAGAGCAAGGCTGACATCCCCCATGCAGCCAGGAGTCTGGCTCTGCTCCTAATGTGGCAGTGTCACAGAGAAGCCCAGACTGAGACTCACCACAATGCTGCTGGATTGGAAGTAGAGAACAGAAGCAATGACACAAGCTTTCCCCCTCTGTCCCAGACCAAGAAACTCATGAGCACTTCACTACTCCCATCTGCAAGACAGTGATTGCTAGAGGTTCTAAAACCAGGCACTCTCAGGGGTCATTTCTTATAGAGAGAATACAGGATAGTTTAAGCCCATATTCTTGAAACAGGAGGTTTTTAACTTTACTTATCTCTGGAGACCTTGAATCATAAAACCCCTTAATCTCTTAAATAACTTTCCTCCAGCTCCAGGGTGCAATTTCACCACTGCCCACTGTTCAGAGCCTTAAATGATATCTACGCCATTAGAGGGGCTGGGTTACCCTCCTCTAAAGGTCACCCCAACTGCATCCTCTTCCTTCCTACAGGCACTTAATATTCACCTTCTTGACAAATCCATTGCTGGACACTGTGCCACTTCTGTTCCAAAATACTTCAGCATGGTCATTTGCCTAAACAAGCCTTGATTATTCCAACTCTGTGGCCTATCTGTCAGAAAGGGGAAATATCAGTTGTAGCTGAACAACCTGTTGCTAAACTGCCATCATGCATGTAGAAGAAATGAGGTACATGTGCAGGCACTGGAAGGGACTTCCTACTGAAAGCAGCACTTGTGTTTGCTTGCAGGGCTACCCGAAACAAGCTGTATTCCTTAACAACCCCAGCTGCTGCCTGCAGAGCTGTAGGAATTTTAGGGGGCTCATTGCAAGACCAAAGGGATCAAGCACCCAAGTAAATTGAAAGAGACCCAAGAAGGAAAGAAATTATGATACTGCTAGAGAGGAAAATAGAAGAAATTCTATGAGGAAAGTCAGAGAGACAAGATCAAAAGAAGTTGGAATTAAATGAATCATGGAAGCATCCCTCCTTTATCAAATCCTCACCAGTATGCAAAACTGAGTTTCCTTTTCCTTCCCCCACTGGCAGGCACTTTGTGTTTCTTTCTTTTGATGCGTGAGATAACCTGACATTAGAGCTTGCTTTGCTTGTCACAAGTGTCAGCACTGATGTCATTAGGGACATCAGCACAGCTTTCAGAATGGCACTTGGGCTCCATCCAGTGGTTAGAGAGCTGCTTCCGTAGGAAAACCCAGCTGTAATTACTGTTATTTATCTCAGCAGGTTACTAGGCCCCAAGTGGCTGCCCAGGTTCTCGGCTGGTCCCCTTTCTGCTGATACTGGGACTGGAATGTTGCTGGGACAGCAATGAGACCGCCTCTTCTCATAGAGAATGATTCTTCTGAGTACAGGTTAACTAGATACAGCAGATTCAGGTACAGATGGCCCTGGCAGTATGGAGAAATTAATTTTCTGTCACTACTTTGAGCCATTTAGTTGCTGTTTGCAAAGGACCTGGGGGTTTGCTCAGACACTTACAGCGGTCCTCATCATTACCCAGATTTACAAAATGGGACTCCTAGCAAGACAACTGTTCGATCGGAGTGCAAAGTAATCTCCCGACATTTGGCATTTGAAAACGTGAATAAAATAGATCATTTTGATAGTTCTCAGCAATTTCAATATCTGACACTTGCAAATGCTATGGGAACTCATGATAAAATACTGTTTTTCACACACCATCTGTGCTAATTAATTTAAAAAATAATTTATGTTGGAAAACTTTAAGAGTCCTCCTCCTCTTCCTATCTTGCAACAGTCTGGGAGAGCAGCGGTCTGATGGAAATAATCAGCAAGATGGTGAGAATATTTAAAAGTTTACATAAGCATGACATGAGCTGGGCAGGTAAGGGACTAAAAGAGAGCACAAAGGTAGAAAAACAGCTTACAAACTAAATTCTACTCTAACATGTGCCAAATAGAAATAAAAAGAACAATTTCAAGTGATTGTTTCATACTGATAAGACTCTGAACTAGAAATATAGCAGAAAAGCATCCATGCAAAAAGGCAACACTTATGCAGTCGTAACTGACTGAATCTGTCAGAAACAGAACCAAAAGCGAAGACTTCAAATGGAGAAAGAATAACATAAATAGCTACAAGATCATTGCACAAGTGGCTGCAGTATTCCATCTGACCCACAGTATATTTACACAACACAGAAAATCTAACTTTAGCCACTCTGTTCATCCTTCCTTTCTAAGTGAAAGAAAAAAAAAAATCAGATTTTAGCATTGTCAATTCTGAAAATCAAATTACTTCTAACAGAACTATTCCCAAGTGTAGGTTCAGTTACACTGTCAAAAAAGGGCTTAAACCTAAATCAGATATAACAACAGAAGCATGTTATTCTAACTACATCTACACTAGTGAACTTGGAGCAAGTTAACTTGATGGGCTTCCAAACTGAGTCAAATTGGTTGAAAAGCTGTGGGGAGATAGAGCCTGAGAAAACAGAAACAACAAAGCTACAGCAACATTGGTATGACATCAGCCAATGACTCAGAGTTTTCACATGAAGGCTTTACCCTGGGATATGTCAAAAAGCAAGCCCTACAGGCCAGCATCTCAGACTTTTTTAAGGGAGAGAAGAAGAGAGATCACGTTGGGGAGAATACACAGGAAAGGAAAGACAGGGGAACTAGTTGTACAAAACCCTTGTACCTCATATGCCTGGAGAAAGTCAGAACAAATTTCTTCATAAAATTTAATCAATAAAACCCCTTATTATAAATGAACACTGTCAGATATGACATTTCACATGCATGATTCAGCAAGGGACACATGTTGGTATCACATCCCAGTGTGCAGATTCTCAGAGACAAAAAGTCTGCAATCCTGTGTCCTGTTCTGCTTCTCCAGATGAACTACATCCAGTGTCATAGAAGCCTTTACTCCAGACACCTACAATGTCTTGTAATCCATGCAGTTGAGATGCTGGGGGAGCACCACCTACAGCTACTGCTGCAAACCTATAGGATAAAGCTAATGCCAAACAACGGAAAACATAGTAAAATAGCACATGGCACAGGTGGTGTTACATTCGGAACCTGTTCACTGTCCTTCAGGGCACATTAGGCGCAGCCCTGAATATGTATTATCCCCAGTGCAGTCCCTCACCAAACCAACAATCCTACAAAGATCCAGGATCTTTGGTGGCACTTTTTAAATACCCTGAGGTGGATGCACCTTTGCAATGGCAACTTCTAGCTGCAGCCAGCCTATAAAAATAACCATTATCAGGGTTAAACTGGAGAGCAAGAGCAGTTCAGGCTGAGATCTTAATTCCCTTGCTTTATTCTAGTCTCCAGATGTCCAGACTATTTATTTTTCAGAGACAAATGGAGTGATAATTTTCCCAGAAAAGTACTGTTTTTTGGAAAGGATACCCCAGAATACAGACCACCTTTCTTCCCCTCCCAAAAAATACTGACTGTATAACAGGTTTCTGGATGTCCTCATCCATTCTCAGTTTCAGACAAGAAAATACATAACTTTTCATAAATCAGAGTGCCTCCAAAGTATATATTAAGACATATAGACTTTTATTATTACACAAGCAATCTCACATCACTCCACAGCTCAGCCTTTCAGTTCTGTGAATATGAAATACAGCATCAGCATAACTTCTAAGCTTGGAACCACAACTATTTGAAAGCAAGTAATCTCCTCCCAGTCTGAACTGTTCTTTAGTTTTCATACCATTCTAATACCATGTCCAGATACTTCCTTTGTCTTACGTGTCCTTCATGTAAGCATCAGGCTTCTCAACACACATTCTACAATTTGTATACTTTTTCCTCCCATCTCTTCTTGCTGACCATCTCCATCCATCTCCATTATACCATAACCCTATACATACATAAACATTGACAAATTTCACCTTTACTGTCAAGGCTGATCACTAAATCCTGATGTATTCATTGCACTCTTGTCAGTGTGGTGCTGTCATGTGTCACTCTCCCAGAAAGGACGGAACCAGTCAAATCCCCCCATCCCAGCTCCTGCATTTAACATGCTTATTATGCTCTTGACTCCTTCCAGGCACTGTACCAGGTAAGGAATATAATACAATTTGCCTCTGGCAAACAGGGACATGTACACAGTTCTAAGCCTCTCCAAATCAATTAGCCAGTGGAACCAAGCAAAAGCAATACTTCAAATGGCTTGAACAAGTTACATTAACTTTGGAAAGAAAGACCATCTGAAAGACCCAGGAAAACTGTTCCAGTGTCTGTGACAGCAAGGTTCAACTAGTGATGTTCCTTTATTCCACACCTAAATCCCTCTTAATAAGGAAAGAGGTGAGGACTCACTTGGTAGATGCCAGTACAGGATCATCCGCCCAGCCTCCTTGCCGGCGCGGGGGTTTAGGTGGTGGAACCTTTAATAAAGAGAAGAGACATGTTACAGACAGCTCTGGTCAAGCCAAAGTCAAGCCAATTGAGACACCAGGTCCACACACATTAATGTAATACTTTACAAAATAATTGAGAGGTAGTGTTTAAAATGCTCTTTAGTCATAAAATAAAAGGAAGACAGAAACTACAGGACAGGTTTTTAAGCTCGTCTGTAAACAAAAGATGCATCACCCTATCTTGTCAAGATTCAGGTCTATGTGCCTTTGACATTTGGAGGACACACAATACAGCAGATGACTGATCCACAGAGGGTGTGCTCTCCTGGCAAAATAGGGTTCACTGGGAACTTGTTCATCACTGTTGCCCACATATTAGTGGGAGGTATCACATTATGCCTTTCCTAGTGTACAAGACAGCATGTTTTAGACATCTTATTTTACATGAGGAATTGTTCCTAAAAAGCTTGCTTTTGTCCGCTGCTTAGAATAGGAGTATAGATGCCAAGTTCAGACACAGTGATCCATACCCAAACTCTTCCAGAGTTTGTTGGGATGAATCCCACCACTGCCACCACTGAAATCCAAAGGGGAAGATCATCTGGAGCTTAAAGACATCCCCTGCTATTTTCTTGCATTGTCTTGTGTGGCACTCTGCCACATGGCAAGAGAAAATGGGAATTCAGCTTGGGGCTTATGATGGGAATTTCCAAATGGGGCCATGAATTCCCACCATCTGGAAGCTGCCCGTTGCCATTTACAGTTTTGGGCTTGGTTCCCCCAGCCTGAGGCACTTGGTAGAGCACTGCCTTTACACTGGGCAGGCAAGGATAAAAGCAGATGCAAGGTGAACCCAGCTTACATAGCTCCCAGTTGATGGTGCCCAGTGAGGGAAGATGGACTACAGGGATCTGTGAATGGACCATCATGAGAAAGAATGATTGGGTAAAACATGTCCCAAAACAGAGAAAAAATGCTAACTGCAAAGGAATGGTGGGGACACAGGTGGCTTCCACAGCTTTTATTAAGGAAGTGAATGAGTGGGATGACTCCCAAGGACTTCTGACTTCAGAGAGGACCTTGCATGTGTGGTGGGGTCAATGCGGAGCAAAAGCTAAATTGCCTCTTGCCACAGATGAGGACAGTCGAGCTAACCCCTGATGGTAGGGGTCTCGCATGTTTATTTCTTGAAGTAGAAGCACTGTTTGTGAGTGTGGGAAATTAAGAGACCCTGCCAGGGGCAGCCTCTGCCTGCTGCAGGGAGGGGGTATGACCCTGCATAGCTCTCTGATAGGAGCAAAAATAGTCATCCTCCAAAAATAAACAGGGAGCAGGAATGAGGCAGGAGCTGCAGTCCCAAAATACCAACTTTCTTCAGCAAAGGGAGCACAGGAGGGCAGAGGGACAGGCAGGGAGCGTGAAACGCAGGAAACAGCCTCCTTATATGGGCTCATCCGTAGGGGACAGAGCTCAGTCGACTGGAATGACCATGTCACAGAATGTGAAGCCTTCAGGGGCCCAAGTGAATGGAGTTTTCTGATCTTTAAATGATTCCCCTAGATTCTTAAGATGCCAAACCAGAGAAGAGGCCACAGTGCCAAAAAAGGAGCATTTTGAATTCAGTTGATCTGGACACACCCAGAGCCCAGGAAAAAGTGGGAACACACACCACATATGGGCGTGCATGCCCACATAAACATCCTCATTCCCATTACATACACCCCTAATCAAAACCACGCTCCTTCCCACACAGATGCTTCCCATGCAAACAACCCCCTTTCCCCTTACACTACCCCTCTGATAGCCAGCAAACCTATTTCCGACACACAGCCTCACAACTCATCACAAAGGTGCACAGGAATACAAAAATGACACCAAAGAACCTGGGCCATAAGGCTGAGGGAAAATGCAGCATGTCCAGGGCACTTCAGTGCCCCTGCAATTTAATTTATTCATCATCAAAACTAGCCTTCAGATCAAAAATAACTCAAGTGGGGCACACCAGATCAGAGTGTGATGACAATGTCTGGCCCAGTCTTTGCATAAGGCATGACCCCAGGGCATCTAAGGGTTTGATTCCAATGTCTTGCCAATGTTATACTGTGTTCTCATTGATCATACACACCAGGCAACCCTGAATGTCTGTCAGATCCTGAAAAACACCTCACATACACCTACAGGTCTTTTATTCCTCTTGCAATAAATCAGGTAATTCTTTCTGAATTGCCTACAGGAGCACTAGCAACAGGAAAGGCAATGTTAACTGTCAGCTGAGGAGAAATAGCTTTTCTTTGTTAGCTGCCTGGAAAGTGCTGCAATAAGGTCACATGCCACATACACTTGTGTCAAGTAAATAAACTTACCTTCATATACTTTCACAGTTCCAAAATCTCAGTGTAATTTACAATTGAGAATGCAATGCCATGCTTTGCCATAATATGGTGACAGGTAGGGACTTTGCAGCTTCAAGCAAGAGCTTGAGACAGAAAGTGGGACAAATGTCAACCCCAGAGGGATCAGAACAAAAATAGAGTACACTGTTCTTCTGTAATGCAGCAAATGTGCTCTTAAACATACCTTTTTGGTGAAAAAGACTGGGGATTTAGATGATCAGAACTTGTTGGTACCTACTGTTAATACCTTAGGCAAGATTTGTATGTATATTCCCAAATATAAAGCTATACATCCAAACAGTTTGGTGTTCAAAACACTGAGATTCCACCAGCTCCTGACAAATGTTGTCTCTCAGCCCTTGCTGCTCAGTCTCTTTCACAGCATCAACTAATCACTTACTTGCTGGGATTTTCCTTTCCACTTCGGTTTCGTCCATTATTTATCTCCAGAAGATCTCCTCTACTTGAGTTTCTGCAGATTGTCCCTTTTCCAAGGAAAATTGCCATGGTCTGAATTTTTTGTTTCGTTGTTTGTGTTTGTTTTTTTCTGACAGAAATTTAGTTCACCACCTTTGTGAGGGCATTTTTCCAGTATTTCTCAGGCCACCTTCCTAACTTTGATACCATAACTTTGATAATACATCCATAATCAGTATTTTATCTCTCCCTTGGAAAAATGACTGGCCTGAATTCCATCTCTCCTGCATCAAAGTAGAAACTCTACCTTCTTCTTTATTGTTTTCCAGGCCCTTTCTTATCAGACAGATGCAGAATTCTAATCTGGCTTCCCCATTAAAGCAGAAATTTCCAGGCTACTTGTCAGATCACGTCTACAGTTCTGAAGGTGCCATTTGAATGCTGCTTCCCTCATGGAAGAAACTATCCTGTGTGTCTCTGAATCCTGAAGGTCCAGCAAAGTTTCTTTTAGGATCTACCACAACAGAGGCAGATTATGGGCATGTTAAGCCCCTCAGATTCTCAGGTGGGTCTGGAAATATGGATTAATTTACCTTCATCAACTTGACAACTCCTTTGAAACTCTGAGCACTCTGTGCAGGGATGTAGGGACTCAAATGACATTGAAAGCATGCAACAGAGGACATACAATTCTTCTATCGTGTCATATTTCTCCTAAAATACATAGAATCTATGTTTTTCCAAGATACAAACACTGCGAGATTTTACACAGTGTGTAGGTGTCTTGTTTTTATCCATTGACCAAGAAGTGGAAAGAAAGAAGTATGGGCAGTCTCAAGGATTCTCTTCTCCAGCAAGATGCTATAGGCTCCCTTGACTGAAGAAAAGCAAATCTCCACAACCAGGCCTGATGAATTAGTTTTGATTGCTGCCATTTAAAGAGCTATAAGTCAAACGGCCCCACTGCACCTAAACAGCCACATATAAAACAAACTATATTGACCTCAGAGCATGTATGATATCAAAAACACATCAATTCCAAGATCTATGCAAGTCTGGGCTTTTTGCAAAGAACAACCCATCTCTTCTGTCTCTCTTCATCATGTCCATAGACGGTTCAAATACTGCATCTGATTTTAATGAATACCCTCCAAGGACTTCTGCATGTCTTAAATACTCAGCAGAAAATACTGGATTTGCATTTCATCCACAAACTGTAATTCTTTTCACAGTCACTGGGATTCCTTTACTAGGGAAAATGTTATTGAAACAGAAGTTCTTGGGGGCCTTCAAATATTCTCTGCCATCTATCACAGGTAAAGGAGCAGTTAATATAGTTAACCAACTATTAATCAAGAATTGCTCTCCCAAAACAGTGGCCAGCTGTTTGTCAGCTGACATGCACCCCTGAGGAAAGCTGTCACGTTTGCAGGATTTGGCACCTTAACCTGTCTGAGAGTTACTGCTCTCCCCTGCAGGAAAACAGTGAATCAGCACACAACAATCTGATTCTCTAAACAAGGGGTCACCACGTAGAATCCTCTCACAACCCATAGTTATAGGGAAGTGCCCCTCCAGCCCTCTTAAGCATGAACATTTCTAAGTTTGCTACCACTTTATGCTACATATGGTCAGACATTTTCCCATCCACCTTCCCACCTCCTACAGTCCTTTTGTTGACTTGAGGTGGGTCCAGAAGCACTCAAAGTATGAAATAAATGTGTGGAAAAGGAAAAGCTTTTAATAAAATTATTTTCAATGAGATTGTCCCTAATCCACATCAAGGTAGACAAGCAGGCAGGATACTTCTATGAAAGGCTGGGAAACATGGCTGACTAGAAATACTATTTCAGAAGATGTCATCAAAAGGCAAGGAGATAAGCTCAGAAAGCTGAAAATAACTGCCCTGCCGGTCAGCCTGTCGGGGTGCACGGGAGAAAGGCTGCATAAGGCCTTGGGGAGCTCCAGGCCGTGCAGTGCTAGGGCTCACACTGGGGAAGTTGGCCTAATTAGGGAACAAAAGTTCAGCTGCATTTTTGAGATTCCTCTTGGAGAATCTGGCCAACTTCCAGATGAGAGGTCCCCAGGAACAGTCTGGGAGTCCAGCATTTCTACAAGCAACCAGAAGAGCTCTGGGAAAAAAAAAAAAAAATAAAGATGCAAACCCTGTAAAATGGAATCAGGTAAAAAACCCAGTGCTTCCTTGGATGTTGGATC